AGTGTTGCCTGCATTCGTTTGAAAAGCGTGGGGAAATGGCCTCCGAAGACATTCTTGCCGAGTATCCTGAGCTGAGGCCGTTCGTTCTCTCCAACCTGCGACTGACTGGCATCAGAATCGGCGCCGGAGCCTACGCCAGCGTGGAAGAGGTGGCCATGCCTGGAGCCATCTGCGCAGCCAAAAAGATCCACGACATCTTCCTGGACCGCTCCGAGATCCCTGCGGCCGAGATCCGCAGAGCCGGAGCGCAGTTCGTGAGAGAGTGTCAGCTGATGAGCACCCTCCGCCACCCGAACATCGTCCAGTTTCTGGGCGTCGCCGTTTTCCCTGGTTCGAGACTTCCAGCCCTCGTCATGGAGCGACTGCTGACGAGTCTTCACGACTTGCTGGACCCAGAAACCGACACCCCTCCCCCGCAAGATGCTCACAAGGCCTTTCTACCCTTGAGCCTGAAGTGTTCGATTCTGCACAACGTGGCGTGCGGCCTAGCCTACCTCCACGAGCGATCGCCGCCCATCATCCACCGTGACCTGTCGGCCAGAAACATCCTCCTCAACTCGGGAATGGTGGCCAAGATTGTCGACTTGGGCGTGGCTCGTATCGTTCCTCGTATGAGGGCTGCTGCCACCATGACAAAGGGCCCTGGGACATCAATCTACATGCCTCCAGAGGCGGTTGATCCTGCAGAAGTCAACGCCGAAAAATCGAAATACGACGCTAGTATTGATGTGTTCTCATTTGGAGTTGTCACCATCTTCACAATCGGCGAAGTCTTCCCCTGTGATCCTCTTGCTGCAACATATCTTGACGAAAAAGGTGAGGTAATGGGTCGCACTGAATTGCAGCGACGCAGTGTGTACATGCGATATGTGAACGAGAAACTCCGTGCCTGTGGCCAGCTCCGTGGGGACCACCCTCTCATTAGGCTAATCCAGCAATGCATGCACAACGACACCCACAAACGTCCGGGCATTCGCGAGGTGCTGCGTCTGTTGGAGGGGGCCAGAGCTGGAGCCAGAGACAACGGATGGGAAGAGGTGCAAGCCTGTCAGAGTGGGCCCAGGAGCCAAGTTACGGTGTGTGTGTGTGTGTGTGCTAATGCTGTAACTGAAACTAATACCTTCGCAGAGTTTGGATAGAAATATGGAGTCTCGTGTGCAGGAACTACGGCAAGAATTGCAGTCCAAGAACCAGGTAATGGTGTATCGTCTTATACCGTCATGTTTCATTATTGAGTTATTAGGAGAATGCTGAACTGCAACAACAGCTTCATTCTATTAACCAGGTATTTTGATTGTTTAGAGTTTGTGTGTATCAGGTAAGGTTTTAGTAAAACACTTTTAACTCTTCTGTTGTGTGCAGAATTTGGAGCAAGAGCTCCAGTCACGTATGGAAGCCAAGGACAGGGAGCTAGCTGAGGTTCAGCAGCAACTGAGACAGAGGGTAACTATTAACGTATTAGTGCAGTGAAAAGCACTGAAGTGTAAACCCTCGGTGCACTGCGCAGGCGCGGTACTGTTATTGATAGGCTGGACTATATCTTTTACTCTTGGTCTCAACGCTAGTAGCACGCAGAGAGTCTGACACGGGCTAGTAGATAGCGTGCGGGAGTCGATACACGCCATTAGTTGTGACTTCTTGAGCCTCTCCAAGGTACACAGAGCGAGCAGATGAGGTCGCAGTAAGCCCAGTGCGATTATGCATATTGGCTTTTTCGCTTGTTTACACGGCATATCTCTCGAACGCAGTCGTTTCAGGAAAATCGCCTAAACAGTTAATAGTTTTCCGGCTCGCGTAGTTCTGAATACGTTGGTATCGCTCATGGGCCGCCTCGTGGCCCGTAGTACGAGAATAGCTGCTGACAGACCGACACACACACCCAGACCAAGTATATACAGTAACCCTCGCTGCGCATGCGCGCCTAGTTAATAAGTGCAAACCAACCCTCGGCGAACTGCGCATGCACGGTATATACCGCTAATGGATGGGCGGGCTAGGCTATTGGCGTTTACCCGCGGTCTCCCGATAGTAGCTCGCGGAGAGTCTGACACGGGCTAGTAGATAGCATGCGGGAGTCGATACACGCCCTTCGTTGTGGCTTCTTGTGCCTCCGAGGTACACAGAGCAAGCGGATCAGGTCGAAGTGAGCCAGCATACCGCGTTGATCGCGTCTAATATACGCATGCGCACCGCTTATTGATGGGTAACGCGGTCCGCGACCGTGCCAGTTTGTCGCTCTCGAACGCAGTCGTTTCAGGAAAATCGCCCTCTTATTTTTCAGGCTCGCGTAGTTCTGAAGCCGCCTGTATCGCTAATGGGCCGCCTAGTGCCAGAATAAGCGTCGACACACACACACACACACACAGACTGACAGACAGACAGACAAACCAACTACCGTAACCCTCGCTGCGCATACGCGCGCTGATGGTTAAAAAAGAATATCCCCCCCTGCTTGCTTGGCAATTCTTTGTGTTGAAGCAGTAGAAGGCAAGCTAAAGAGTGTGTTTCCAGGGTAGTGTAATATGGAACGCCAAACCTGACAAAACCCCGACGTAACGCTCTGAGAAGCGTTTGTGTGTAAACTTTTCCGCAAACGTTCGTTGAAACGTTTCTGTAAACGTTTAGCTGAACGTTTGAAGTGTTCGTTGATAGGCTCTTAGTTTTGCTAAGCTTCTTTTCATGCACATGCGCATTATCCGTTGAAGCTTGCATTGACTATATATACGCGGAAAATGTCCTCACTGCAGTCCTTGGGACAATGAATGGAATAGAAGCTAGATGGCTTCCTTCGCCTTCTCCACTTTTGAAGGAGTGGCGATCATCGTCTCCCCAGCAGTCATTTTCGGCCACAGAGCGTATCAAAAAAACGTTTACGAACAATTTCGCGCATAGCTAAATGTTTACAGAAACGTTTCAACGAACGTTTGCGAAAACGTTTACACAAACGCTTCTCAGAGCGTGGGTAAAACAGGATGATGTTACGTCTGGGTTTTGTCGGGTTTGGCGTTCCATAGTGTAGTAGTACTTCCTGTTTGGAAATCCACCAGTTTCGTTGTGCTGCAAAAACCTTGTGTATGTTAGTGCATACATATATTCTTCATTTCTCATCAAGCCTGAAAGCACAATCCACACATGCAAAAATCTATGCACAATTTTCGGGTAATGATACTCTACGCATGACATACAGGAAGAGCAGAGTGCGAGGGAGAGGCGAGAAATGAGACGAGAGATAGAAGCAGAGTTGAGAAGGACTATCAGGAGAGAGGAGAGAGAACCTGTGCTTCATAGACTACGCAACGCCATTCCTCTAGCCAGTATAAAAGAGAAGGTAATTTACGTAATGAGCACTAGCTGCCGAATCCAAAGGCAGTGGTGTGGCATGTAACTCCAATGTCGTTCCTACACTTGAGTATAACTTCATGTGCTTTACATCATGAGTATAAAGTATTTGGACTTTGTACGCAGATCAAAGGCACTGCATTTTACTGTAATTATACATAGAAGTTGTGACAATTTTGTTCCTACGTTTTTATGCAGAAGAAACCTAGGACACTGTTGCCTGGTGCCTTTTTCTATACATGCTGTTACCTCAGACACAACTAGCAATCATTCTCTAGCATCTTGATGTATAATTATACAATTCAAACAGTAGAATTATTAATGTGGGTCTTTGCTGTCCTCTTTATCTTTCCTCTTCCTCTGTTCTGCCCGTCTATCCTCCTTCTCCCCCCTCTCTCGCTTTTCCATCCGTCTCTAGCTATCCTCCATTAAAGATACCATCTCTGCTTGTCTCTGCCAGTGTTGTGAGATGAGGGTAAGGAGTTGGCCACCAGACCTTGTGGTTTCAAATTCAGCATCACTTTTATTTTATCAACAATTATAATGTGATTTATCGATTAAGCCTGGCATTCCACAAAAAGGCCTAAATTACATCTTCAGAGAAATGTGTGGAGCTGTATATACTAAATGTTTGAATACTGAGGCACTATATAAGACATACTTTTTCAGTGTGTGACACATCTTGCATTATAAGGAATGTGGCAGTACTACAGAAATTGCTACTGGAACGAAATTTTACTGCATTCTTTCACATTTTATAAAACTAGCCCTTTTGTACTGTCACATTCCTTTTAACATACCACTGAAACTCTCTGCATTAATGGTACTTTTTCCAGTGTTGCAGAGGAGGACAGAAGAAGTGGAGACTGATATTCATTGCCCTCAACATCCTCTACCTGGTAAGAGGTGTGTATATACACTGCCTTTGGATGCGTATCACATGTACGTGATATTTGGTAAAAGTAAAGAAAGACTGGGATGACTTTGTATACATCATCATGACCCTCATTACCTCTGATTTTGCTGGGCTGTTTTAGAGGACACCATGTAGTATAATTATATTGGTTCCCTTAACATTAACTTGCAAGCAGTTCCATTGGATTACCACTGTTAGTAGCTAGATGACTTCTTGAGATAATGAAAAACACTGAAGTGCAAACCCTCGGCGAACAGCGCATGTGCGGTAGAGCTAATTGATGGGCTTGGCTAGCTTACTATGCGTTTACTCGTGGTCTCCCGCTAAAGCTCGCTAAGACATGCGATATGTGAACGAGCAACTCCGTGCTGTACAAATGTTTCCACTCTAAATGTGTTTAATTTTTCACATTTACAAGTCTCCCACTACTATGCAAGGACAAAAATGGCTCAGGATTCCTAAAGTGTCTCTGACTTTTCCTATACCTTCCTTTCTCTCGTAGATGATTGGTGCGACACTAATTGGCGTAGGGACAGACCCTATGACCGACTCTGCCTTGCTCTACATTCTCCCTGGGATCCTCGCCGTGCTGTTATCGCTCGTCGGGATAATTGGCACTCTTGGAAAGTGGTACCGTATGCACACTTGGGTAAGTTGCTATAATTATCCACTTGTATTAGAAAGTTTTAAGGACGAGAGTTTGCAAATTCCACCAAGCATTGACCATTGTTTAGTGATGTGTTGAACCGTTGGCGGCAGGGGTACTTCATAAGAGGGGCGGTGGTTAGATGTGGTATATAGATACTAACCGCTAATCTTGTTACGGAATCAATTAGTAACAAATCTTAGACAAGCAGCCACGGCATAATAAATATTCCGAGACACATCACCCATAAGAATTTCTATGGGGCTATAATACTAGCGTTAATCATGTTCTACACACAATTTCTACATATTTAAGGAGATACCCATGGGGTTAATGTGTAAAATATTGGCGCCAGAGGTACATTCTTGTCCATTGTGTACGTATCTTCAGAGATACTTTTCCGATAGCAGATCTACAGTTATTTTGTAAAATGTAAGGGTAACAATGCTCTATGAACTCTTTTTCCCCAGTATGCAGGTTTGCAGGCAGGGGCTTTTATTGCCATCATAATAGCTGGGGTTTCGGTTATCATGAACAGGGTAAGCTTTTGTATGTATAAAAACAAAACCAACGCAGAAAACATACACATATGTGATGTACTATTAGTCAAGAGACAGAATTTGTGAATTTTGACCACATGTGTTTCCAATGAAATTTTGTGCTGTGAAGTTTATAACGTAGTATTATGGAACTAAGTTATATATTACTCCTCACTTCTTAACTTAATTGCTTCCATGCAGTCTGAGACGGCAGAAGATAGTTTGCCTGAAGACATTCGTGCCTACACTGTCAATGGTACAGACAGTAATGCCAACAGATTCGTAGACCAAGCTCAAGAAGAGGTAAGAGGTGCCTCAAAACAATATTATACACTTAAAATGAATTACCTTTCGTGTGTAGTTTAATTGCTGTGGATTCAATGGGCCAGATGACTGGGTCAACACCACGTATTTCGAGGAGACAAGAGGAATGCTACCTCAGAGTTGTTCGTGTGGCAATCTCAACTGTGGAAGCTGTATTCCGTTTGGAGAAGAATGTGACTCGAATAGACCTGGAAAGAATTTAGTGTGGGCACGGGTTAGTGGTTGCCTTAGTAGATATCACTTTAGCACACCAGGTACTCTGCTTTATAAATCTCACTAATGCCTAACAAACCAAGCAAGCTGGAAAACCTCAGTATGTATACGTGAGCCCATTTTAACATTATAGCCCTTTTTACAACATGCAGGCCATATACATACACATCAATCCCTCCTACTCCAGGGTTGCAAGGGACGTGTCGGAGAGGAAATGGAGGAAAGTCTTGTTGTAGGTGCTGGTACAATGATGGCTTTCAGTGCCATCCAAGTATGTTATATACAGAATCTTTGCATTTTTACAGCTGTATAGCTGCGGTAGTTTTTGTGGTGTACCATTAAGACTGCTAATCTATAGACAACTCCATGTTTCAAAGTTCTGCCAAGCTAGCCAGGCTGACAGGAAAATGTACTCCTGCAGCTACATAGTCTCTATCTATGAAACATTATTGAAATGCACCGTTCAGAGCCATATTTTTACCAGAGGAAAGAGTACGAAAAACTCTTCCATCTCACATTGTATAAGTTAATGTAGTTGCAATTAATAGCACATACATGATGCATGAAGTGTGAATAACTTGGTAGCTTAAGTATGTTAAAATCTACAGTGTATAGCTAGCTATTATTGTGCTTTTTCCTTCTCTCTCTCCCTCCTTCTTTTACTCCTCTCTACCAATATTTTCCTTCCACTCTCTCTTTTCCCTCCCTGTCCATCATGCTTCCTTCTCTCCTTCCCTCCATCTCTCTCTCTCTTCAGCTATTAGGTGCAGCAATAGCTCTGAAAGTCCGAAAAGATTTTATTAACCCTCGGCGTGCGCATGCGCAGCGAGGGTTACAGTAGTCATTCTGTCTGCCTGTCTGTCTGTCTGTCTGTCCACCTTCACAGTCTGAGCTAGTTCCATTGAAACTGAAGCGTAAAGTTGCATACCGAGGCCACTACATGTATGATTACATAAGACCCCAGAAACTCCTTGACGCTTTTGTGACATGGAACCTCTCACATGTACACGTCTGCGTATCAGCGTCATAGCCCCACCGTGGGACTCCATCTGAGGGTTTAGTGCTTCAGTGCCTTTCATTTGGTTAGCAGTTGTCTGATTACTTCTCTTCTCTACACTGCTCTCTTTTAATTTTGACTCAGTCATACTTCATGCGTCTCTGAGGTGCAGCTCCATAAATGACGCCTACATGGGTACATAGTACATCCATTTAGGAAGTTAAAGATTTGTGAGCTTAACGGGTAAGATGGCTGGAAAATCATTTGCTGATTTTTATATACACAAAAATGTGCGCAACTTTTTCTGCACTCAAATGTCCCAGTACACTAAGATTGTGCAGATCAAGTTTCAGTTCCTACTCCTAGTCTTAGGGAAATAATCAGCCTAACTGATTTTCTGAAGCGCCTTGATTCTGTGGCTGTTGTTGTCACACGACTGTCACATGACTTTATATCATTTGCAAAATTGATCACAAGAGATAGGAGATCATTTTTGATATGTATCTTGGGCATGGCTGAGAAATGCTGACACGAGTTCCACATACCGTAATTACACGCAAACTGCTCGCTATTACCAGGGCGCATGCGCCTGGTGCGCGCTGAGCTAGAGAGGGCGTGCCGTTAATTGTAAAGTCGATGTCTCCCGAGACCACTTCAGCTGTGGAGGAACAGCCAGCTACTGCTGATGGCTCGTCTCTACTGCGGACGGTGGGTCCTGACGACGTATTTAATCTCCCGCTCTACGAGCACCATCTGGTGATGGACATAAGACCATCTCACGAGTACTCTCGAGGACACATGGCCACCGCTGTCTCCTTCCCCTACCCTCCCCTCCAGTTAGTTAGTGTTATGTTCGTACTTGCATGCAATAATATATGACCTATATTATACTTAGCCAACCCTGCTATATACTAACCGAGATGGAGCGCTGGACGCCAGCGCAAGAAACCTGTAAGCTTAAGGACACTTTACTCCGGCTTCGTACATAGATCTTCGTACTATTTAGCAGTACCAATGATCTGCTTCCATGAATGCATGCATCGTCAAAAAGTGCATGACCCTGGCGATACACTAGCTAAACCTTGAGTGGATTATATAGTGTGTGTAGCTAGCTAGATGATGAGGTGCATTGCAGAATAAAGTTACCTTTCCAAAAAAATAGCAGTTGCAATGGATTGCTCTTACGCGCTTCACTATACTACTTACTGTCGCTATCCTCACAGGACCTTGGAAGAAGAGAGAGAGCGGCTACTAATAGACTTCATCCACTCCTACGTGAAGCGGTATATGAGACCAGAGAACCCCAGTCCAGTTCTCCTGTACGGAGACAACAGCCCCGCGGCCAGGTTCCACTCCGAGTGGCTGGCACGGAGACTGGAGAGGATCCAGAGAGAGAGAAAGGCAGTGTCTACCTACGTACCTCAGACACTGTCACTGGAGGAACCAGGGTTCGATTACTTTGAGCATTTCTGTCTCACCATTGCCGACTCTGCCAAGGAGATCTGGATCTTAGAGTTGAGTGGTAGCACCTCCCCAGCCCATTATGTTCTCTGCATTCTATTAAGTAACATAACCTTCCATACAATGTGTGTAGGAGTAGGTGCCAAAGCTTTAATGTGCCAAGGATAACACTGTGTAGGATGCTTGTACTCTAGTTGGAGTGGTTCAACTGCATCGAACCTCCTCGAACCTTCTTGAACCACTTCAGTGCGGAGAAAACTGTTTTCCAAAGGAAAAAAAGAGTGTTCTGGGTGGGAATGAAACCCAAGACATTCTGTAGTCTAGGTAAAGTGTTCTACCCACTGAGCTTATCGGGGCAGCTCAGCAGCCAGAAGTTCGGCTAGCCCTAAATCAAGTACGGGAACAACTAGCTGGGAGATATCTGTAAAAGGAAAGGGTTTTAATATGCTAAGCGCATTGGAGTGTAGCATGTTCTAAAGCTTGCATTAGCCACTAACTGCATTAGCCACTAACTGCCTCATCGTTTACGTACAGCTTTCACTCTTGATATTGAACTCTAAAACTCTGCAGGTGCAGTTACGAGGACTTTGCGGCTGAGTACAGCTTCCTCTGTGGCCACGTAGACTTCATGACGATGGAACCACTCCCCCACCGAATAACGAAACACATCTTTCTCGGGAGTCGAGTCATTCCACTAACACACGCGGCCCTCTGCGTGAGACTTGGCATCACTCACATGATAGTCTCCCGCCACCAACCAATAGACTGGGGAGAACTGAGGGACATATCAGTACTGACTTGTGACGTGAGGGACTCTAATACACAAGCAATGATGGAGTGTTGGACGGCGTGTGTTAGGTTTATCGGTGAGATCGAATCAAATGGAAGAGGAGGAAGAGTGCTGGTGATGTTGTTTGGTCGGTCGAGGTCGGCGAGTGTGGTTCTGGCCCACCTGGTAATGAGCAGGGGCATGAGTCTTGACGAGGCGTGGGGGGTCCTGAGAGGAAAGTGCTGGCATCTCATAGACAAGAGTCTGGCCTACGAAGACCAGCTGAAGGAGTGGGAGAGAGGGACAACTCTGAGTTATAATTATGTACACACACTCCAGCTATTATGTATTATTCTGTGCACTCTGAACTAATAATTACTATAATTATAGGCGCATGCACGGTACTGCTATTGATGGGTTTATTGTGGAACTTTTTGTTAAATCTTTTCATTCTTGAGCGTGCATTAATTGGGACTTGAATATGAAAGCTTTTGTGCAACTTCTCATAACATTCAGACTGCAGCGGTGCAGCGGGATTCAGCATAGCACAAAAGGATAGACCACATACTAGAGTAGTGGGTGGAGAACTTTACATGAGTCTTAACAGCAAAAAGTATTACAAACCTCATTTTTGGGGAACATGCAGAGGAGTAAACTTAAACAGGTGCATGCCAGAACTCTGTGTTTATATTAAAGTGAAGAAATTCAACCAACCAAGTGTGGGTAAGTGGTTGGGAGTAGCTAACTACAATACTGCTATGTTGAAGGTGAAGTGGAGGATGAAAGTGTTCATGGTCTCAGCACTGGTATGTTAATGCTATATACACCCACCAATTCCCACCCACATTTTATGACACTATCTATTACTGAATTCTGCCTGAGTTGTAAAAGCGGGAGTAGCCTATGTCAACGTAGTATGCCGATTGCACTGGAGATAAAGGCTTGGTGATAAACATCTGGATGCCTATTATACACATTACTCTCTCGGAGCGAGCTTATGGCACGCCGTTCGTTTCAAAATCTAAAACTGTCGCGTAAGACACAGGACGCTGTCTAAACAGTTACACGACGCTGTGTAAAATAAAAACAACAAACGTGTGTACGTCATACACGTCCTGACCTTTGACTCCGAACCACGTGGAAGTCTGGAAGATGGCCGAGTCTCAGGCTCTCAGCCAGGCGACGCGACGTGTATGGCACGCCTACGACGAACACGCACAACTCACGTGAAGTTTTACACGAGTTTACACAGCGTCGTGTAACTGACGTGTAGTTTTACACAGCGTCGTGTAACTGTTTAGACAGCGTCGTGTGTCTTACACGACACTTTAGAATTTGAAACGAACGGCGTGCCATAAGGTCGCTGCTTGAACGTGATTCGAGAGAAATCCGACGCTTCGGGAAGAAATATGGAACTTCAGGTAATGATAACCGGTATAATGATTAGGTGAAGTAGCTAAATGGTCATTACAGTTGGAAGGACCAATTTCACAAAGGGATCTTCATAAAATTATTGTACGGTATGGATCTATTCGAACTGGTGCGACAACACGCATTGATGCCAGAAGGAGTGAATATCAAAATGAGGGATATACAGGCACAATGTACTATGCTGAGACACAGAACCATGATGCTTGCTGAGGATAGGCTTTTGGCTATCAGAGTACCACGATACATACACAAGAAAGAAAGTAACACCCAAGAAGAAGAAGGTTTATTGTTTATGTCATAAATGGTCGGCTGCAGCAGTAGGCTGAGTGTCTGTACACTTTCTGTGCAGCAGGATTATAAGCTAGCTCTATTAGTTTTAGTGAATAGTTATGATTGGCAAAATGACTAGTGACTACATAATAATACTGATAAAATGACAGATGTAAGTGTGGACACATTATGCAATGCCATATATACTATGACGTTGACAAGCTCTCACGTGAAATTTTGCTCAAAACTCACACACTTTGATGGGACCGAGACTCAAATGTGGCTCTGTTTGTGCATGACCTCTGCAGTTATAAACCCACCCCTAATCAAGATGCCTCCGAAGAAGACGGCGCTGAAAAAGAAAGTTGGTCCGCGAAAAGGCGATTCTGATTCAACTGCTGGCGGTTCAGAGGCTAGCGAAACGTCTTGTCAGGGTGCAAGAAACTCCTCTGCAACGTGTGGTGTTTGTGACCAGACGATAGTCGACGGCAAGGAGCAGGCTCTCTTCTGCGACGGTGTCTGTAAGCAGTGGTTTCATCGATATTGCGCTGGTGTTCCACTCTCCTGGTTCAAGATCCTCAGCACATCATCTACCCCTTTTCAGTGCTACTCCTGCTGTCAGGTAGAGCATGTGAAATCTGTGGAGAGCCTCGCAGCTAAAATCTCCGAGTTGCAACTGGAAGTTGCAGAGGAGTAAACTTAAAACAGGTTGCATTTGCCCAGAACTCTGTGTTTAATTAAAGTGAAGAAATTCAACCAACCAAGTGTGGGTAAGTGGTGGGGAGTAGCTAACTACAATACTGCTAATGTTGAAAGGTGAAGTGGAGGATGAAAGTGTTCATGGTCTCAGCACTGGTAGGTATAATGCTATATACACCCACCAATTCCCACCCACATTTTTTATGACACTATCTATACTGAATTCTGCCTGAGTTGTAAAGGGGAGTAGCCTATGTCAACGGTATGCCGATTGCACTTGGAGATAAAGGCTTGGTGATAAACATCTGGAGTGCCTATTATACACATTACTCCTCGGAGCGAGCTTATGGCACGCCGTTCGTTTCAAAATTCTAAACTGTCGCGTAAGACACAGGACGCTGTCTAAACAGTTACACGACGCTGTGTAAAAATAAACAACAACGTTGTGTACGTCATACAGCGTCCTGACCTTTGACTCCGAACCACGTGGAAGTCTGGAAGATGGCCGAGTCTCAGGCTCTCAGCCATGGCCAGGCGACGTGTATGGCACGCCTACGACGAACACGCACAACTCACGTGAAGTTTTACACGAGTTTACACAGCGTCGTGTAACTGACGTGTAGTTTTACACAGCGTCGTGTAACTGACGTGTAGTTTTACACAGCGTCGTGTAACTGACGTGTAGTTTTACACAGCGTCGTGTAACTGTTTAGACAGCGTCGTGTGTCTTACACGACACTTTATAATTTTGAAACGAACGGCGTGCCATAAGGTCGCTGCTTGAACGTGATTCGAGAAAATCCGACGCTTCGGGAAGAAATATGGAACTTCAGGTAATGATAACCGGTATAATGATTAGGTGAAGTAAATGGGTTAAATTCATTACAGTTGGAAGGACCAATTTCACAAAGGGATCTTCAGGAAATTATTGAACGGCATGGATCTATTCGAACTGGTGCGACAACACGCATTGATGCCAGAAGGAGTGAATATCTAAATGAGGGATATACAGGCACAATGTACTATGCTGAGACACAGAACATGATGCTTGCTGAGGATAGGCTTTTGGATATCAGAGTACCACGATACAATAAACAAGAAGAAAGTAACACCCAAGAAGAAGAAGGTTATGTTTATGTCATAAATGGTCGGCTGCAGCAGTAGGCTGAGTGTCTGTACACTTTCTGTGCAGCAGGATTATAAGCTAGCTCTATTAGTTTTAGTGAATAGTTATGATTGGCAAAATGACTAGTGACTACATAATAATACTGATAAAATGACAGATGTAAGTGTGGACACATTATGCAATGCCATATATACTATGACGTTGACAAGCTCTCACGTGAAATTTTGCTCAAAACTCACACACTTTGATGGGACCGAGACTCAAATGTGGCTCTGTTTGTGCATGACCTCTGCAGTTATAAACCCACCCCTAATCAAGATGCCTCCGAAGAAGACGGCGCTGAAAAAGAAAGTTGGTCCGCGAAAAGGCGATTCTGATTCAACTGCTGGCGGTTCAGAGGCTAGCGAAACGTCTTGTCAGGGTGCAAGAAACTCCTCTGCAACGTGTGGTGTTTGTGACCAGACGATAGTCGACGGCAAGGAGCAGGCTCTCTTCTGCGACGGTGTCTGTAAGCAGTGGTTTCATCGATATTGCGCTGGTGTTCCACTCTCCTGGTTCAAGATCCTCAGCACATCATCTACCCCTTTTCAGTGCTACTCCTGCTGTCAGGTAGAGCATGTGAAATCTGTGGAGAGCCTCGCAGCTAAAATCTCCGAGTTGCAACTGGAAGTTGGTCAGCTGAAAAATGTGGTAGATGATCTCAAAAGCTCCAGTACTCAGCGGCTCGCCACATCTCGAGATACACATCCTAACATGGGTGTCTCTGTCAGTGGAACCCAGGTTGCTGAAACAGAGTCTGTTCCAGGTATGAGGGGTCATGCATGGGGTATGGGGAGGAGGGGAAGAGGTGTAGAAGTGGTAGGGGAGGTAGAGGTGGGGGAATGGTTATCGGGAGAGCTAGCTTTCATGATAATGGTGAAAAAAGATCTGTCGAAAGTTTGCTTGATAGTCAGGGAAGTTCACGACCCTTGGAATCACGGCCCAAAGTCAAAGTTGAGGGTGCCAGGAGGGTGTGGGGTACACTTAGTATTTGCTCTGCTAGTACCGTTCAAAATGGTATTAGAAGAATATGTGCCAATGATACAGTGCAAGTCAGAAGGAAGACCAAGGAAATGCCTAACGGTAAAGTGTGTTGGTGGTTCGTGCTCCATGATGACGAAGCAAGTCTTCAAGCTATTGATGGCAAGTGGGAGCAAGTCAAGCTGCAAACGTCATGGAAGCTAGAACCATGTTTTCGCCTGAGCCCTGCACCACCTGTGCAACCACCAGCGCCACCATCTGGCAGTTCCATTGGTGTTGTTGGTGCCCCTGTTTCTGAAACCTTGACCACAGCCGGAGTGCTATCCACAACACCAGTCCTTTCAACATCACCTCAACCTGCATCGTCACAACCCCCAAGCTTCAACATCGCCACAAACCCAATGTTCTACACCACCACAACTCCAAACACCCCCAGTTACCTCTGATGCTTCCAATGTTCCAAATGGAGGAAATATGTCTTTTTTGGCCAACAGCCTCGAGCAGTAGCTGGAGCATACCCGACTCCAAAAAATTGCAGCAGTGAATTGAACATTGTCTACTACAATGAACGTAGCCTACTGCCGAATTGAGAGAAACAGAATCTCGAGATGTGATTTGCATTGTTGAAAAAATGGCTGTCAAATGATATTTCAGACAATGAACTTGTGATCCCAGATTATCAGATTTTTAGACGTGATAGAGATCGTCATGGTGGAGGTGTGTTGATGTATGTACATTTTTCTTTTGCTGTTGATTTATGTAATAGTGTAACTGATATTGAGTTGTTGACTGTTTCAGTTTGTCCTCCTAAATCTACTCTTAAATTTTGCGTTGCTCTGTATTACCGACCTCCCTCTGCTTCTGTTAAGTGTTTTTACTCTCTATCTAAAAATCTTTGCAATCTTAACCCTTCTTCATTCAATTATTTCGTTCTAATTGGTGATTTCAATGTAAATTATTTTTGTACTACTTCTTTCCTTTACACCCATTTAATGTACTGTCTATCTCCATTTAATCTTACTCAAGTTGTGCAATCTAGTACTCGTAACACCCCATCTGGTTCGTCTCTGATTGATTCGATTTTTATATCCTCAATGTCATTTTTACACATGTTCTGCTCTTCCACCTCTGGGGACCTCAGACCATAGTGGTCTTCAGCTGGCGGTAAAGGTGATGTGTTTTGAAAGGAGTCAAGGAAATAAACGTCCTTTGTGGAACTACAGCCAAGGTGACTATATGAAAGCAAGGCGTATGATTGACATTTTTGATTGGGATTCATTGTTTTCTGGTGATATCTCCGTTACTGTACAACAATGGCAAAGCCAATTTTTGCATATAATGGAACAGTGCATTCCCAGACTCTCGCATTCAAGTGCTCGTCTGCCATGGTTAACTAAAGACTCATGAGATTAATAAAAAAGAAAAATTCCTTGTTTAGGGCTTGGAAAAAGAATGGCAGTCATACAGTTCGCAGCAAATACAAATCAGTAAGAAATAAGCTCACAAAATTGCTGAGATCTGCAAAGAAGAACTTTTTTGGAAACTTGAACAC